CTCACACCGCGGGCGTCCTCCTCCTCCTCACACCGCGGGCGTCCTCCTCCTCCTCACACCGCGGGCGTCCTCCTCCTCCTCACACCGCGGGCGTCATCCTCACACCGCAGGTGTCTTCTCGCCGTGCGTCCTGGGAGGAGCACAGAGGAGGGCATTACCTTCCTATGTGGTTTCTTTAAATAAATAATGAAGGTTGAGGGAAATTAGGTTAGTGAAACTTTTTCCATTTTCCTAATCTACAAGAGCAGACTTCCCAGATGACTTACTATAATAATCATTATAGCGATGACTTATTATAATGAAAAACCAACTTACGAAGTAGATCAAGTGCCCACTTAGAAGTCTGACATTTATTTTTCACAGGAGTAACATAATGAATAAAAATAATTGGGAAATATCCTTACTATAAGAGTTTAAGCAAGCAGAAATCTTACTGGAAAGAATGTGCTTACTTAGAATACATTAAGTAAGAGTTTTTGAGCAATTAACAAATGTGAAATATGTTTGTATTTATTATCTGTGTAGTAGAAGCTATCGAATCTAGCCTAAAAGAACAATATTGATCTTAATACAGAAATGCTTATTTTTAGCTACGTGTAACTGAAATAATTCACCCAAATTACATGTAGCCAGAAGTCAGTCTCGATTTTTCCTTGTGGCTTTGCATTTGGCTTTGAGTTACCTGGATCTGAGGTATCAGCATAAGTGGTTAGAACTGGCTACGTGTGTGCAGGGTGGTGGCTTCCAGGAACACCCTGCCAAGTAGCCGAGGAGAACCAGTAGCAGATGTGCTTGCAGGCTCAGCCTTTGCTGCTGGCATCCACTGTGAACACTCTGGGAAGCATCGCGATGTGTCCCTCTCTGACAGGGTCGGGCAGAGGGTGAAGGGCAATGGGACAGAAGCTTTTAGTGGGTTCATTTAAAACCCTCCACTTCCAAGGATTGTAGGATATTTGGTTTCTCCTTGATGGGACTCCGCCTGTTTTCCTGAAGAAAACCCGTGGTGCCCTCCTCAGGAGTCCATGCCTTTCCACGTTACGGTCTAAGCTGGCACACGCCAAGTTAAACAGGCCTGCACCGTGATACCCATGCAGAAGATAGAACAGGGGGGCCCCTCGACAGTGGCGTGAGAGTCAGTGCCCGCCTCTTCCTAGTGCACTGAGATGCATAATAGAGGGCTGGGCTGCTAAGTTTAAGAGTCTGCAAAACTGTATACCAAAGGTGCATTGTTCTAGACAATTCTAAGGAGAGGAGAAGATACATTTCCCCAGTTCACTTGGCTTTTCAGTTACAATAGAATGACCTGGGTTCCAGCTGTAGAGAAAAAAAAAATGAATAAAACTTCTGAGCTTAAAGTGATTTCAAAAGAAAGCATTTTTGTGTCTTTCATTTTTGTCTGTAAAGTAAGTTCCTAAAGTCTTTAAACGCAGCCCCGAGCCAAGAACCTTTATTAGGGCAGGATGGTTAGATGATGGAGTACATGTCCCGGGATGTTGGGGTGCAGGGGCGGGAGTGAGGGTTGTGCAGCTCCTCCTCCTCCATCTCTCAGGCGTCAGGGGCAGGGGGCCGGGATCAGGAACGCAGGCACCACCTCCCTCGAAGATCCTAGTTCTGTTGGCTCTCACACTGCTTGCCGGCTATCGCTCTCGAACTTTGCATGTGTCTCCCTCGTTTGTCCTGAGCGCCCAGCACGTGCGTGCAGACAGCCCTTCCATCCCTTGGTGCGCTGTCGCTGTGCACGGGCGACCAGTGAGCCAGGCTAAAGGGAAGCCTTGAGGCCAGCACCTTTTTGTTCTGCCCGTGTATTGTGACAGGGTTTTGTCTGCTGCTTTATTAATATTGTTTTTCTTTTTTCCCTCTCTCTCTGACACATTTCTTTAACCTTTCCTCACCTTCCATCCGACATAGCCGTGGAGGGTAAGCACCTTGTATCCGTGTGTCTGTCCAGCCCTGCATGCGATGGGCCAGAAAGCCGGGTGAGGGCGCTCTTGCTTGGTTCACCACCTCTCGCAACCCACAGAAGCCAGAACAACCTGTTTGCCAGAGAATGAAATATGAACATCTCTGCAGTGCTGGGGCTTCTTGTCCTTTTCCCTTCATACCCAGACTTGGGAACAGCCAAGAACAGAGTATTCCAGGCTCCTTGGGCAGAGCTGGCCATGGGTTCAGAAATAAGCGCTTACAGCGTTACACCGCGGACGGCTGCAGACTCGTGAATGAGCGACTGTTACACACTGTAATTTAGTCTTTTTAAAAAACATATACTGCCTTTTTTGCCTGGTGTAGTTGGAACTAAGGAGCCCTGGAGACACAGTGGTTAAGCACTCGGCTGCTAACAGGAAGGTCGGCAGTTCGAACCCACCAGCCGCTCCACAGGGGAAAGATGTAGCAGTCTGCTTCCATAAAGATTACTGCTTTGGAAACCCTGTGGGGCGGTTCTGCCCCGTCCTTGTAGGGTCGCTGTGAGTCAGAATCGACAGCAGCAGGTTTGGTTTTTTGGTGGTTGGAACCAGTTGAGACTGGTGAAGGCCTCGTGGTGATGTCCAGTCTTGGCGTTCAGGTCCCAGGGCAGGTCACTGAAGAGCTCACGTTACTGCCGGCTGCTCTGTGCACCGGCCGTGGGGCAGGCACGTTTACACGTCACTTCATTTCACCTTCCTCAGGAAGCGAGGCCGTGGTGCTGGATGGGGACGCTGAGGCGTCAGGGTGGGGTGGCTCCCCCCCAGTCAGGGCTAGTGAGAGAGAAGGGTGCAGGCTCCTGCGTGCCACTGCTGCCTCTGGGATAACGGTCTACGAGCAGGCAGGGTGCACTCTGAGAGGAGTCGTGCTTGTCAGCATTTCATGGTGGTGAAAAGAACCCACGTGTCCACTGTATGGTGTTCACGCCACGTGAGGATTCTCCCTTTTAATGTAGAGCGCTTGCCCCTTTAGCGGAGTGGGTACTTTCTCTCAAACCTGCAAATCCTCAGAGAGATGCAAACGTATGAATTCTTTCTCTTGTGAGTGATTTTGGGGGAACACCAAATCATTTCTTTGCAACAATCTTGGGTTTTCAGTGTCTTGCGTATGATTCCATCTGATTTCCTTTAACTGAGCTCAAAGTTAGAACTAAATATCGACTCATTGATTCGTCACGTGGATGAGTTACTTCACCCTCATCCTCAAAGGAGAACGTCAGCTCTCCTGTGACCTGCTTTGATCTCTCTTAAAGGGCCGTCCCAGTGTAATGCAGTAGTGTGCCGCCCTCTAGTGGATAGCAAAGAAATAACCGGCTCTGTGTTGTCAGCTCCAGCCCCAGGAGATCAGTCCTCGGCCCACGGCCAACCTCGACCGCTCCAACGACAAGGTATACGAGAATGTCACTGGCCTGGTGAAAGCTGTCATCGAGATGTCCAGTAAAATCCAACCGGCCCCACCAGAGGAGTACGTGCCTATGGTGAAGGTAAACAACAAAATCTCACTGTGTGCCAGCAGGAAGGCATTCTTAACGGTCAGTGCGTGTCGAATGGGGATGTCTGGACTGCCACACGGTGTCAGGGTTAGTGAGAACCGTGGCTGTTCCTGACTGTGGTTTCCCCATGGGCACTGCAGAGTCCATTGATAAATATTGCTCATAAATACCACCTAGCGTGAACAAAGCAACCTGCCAAAGAGTGCTTGCATATGCTGCCAGGGATACAAAGTTAGTGCAATACGCAGAACAGCTGCTTGTGTGAGGCTTAGGATGCGTCGCTGTGTTACTAAAGTACAGAGAAGTCTGCAGGAATGGTCGTTACCAGATTCAGGATGCTGTGCCTCAGAAAAGGGCCAGGAGGAAGGCGCATGGGAGGGACATCTCTGCTTGGTGTTGGTAAGCTGAGGCTGGGGCCTGGCTGCTCGCTCAGCTTTTTGGGTTGTGGGTTGTTTTTGTTTTTGTTTTTAATAATTGTCATTTATTTTATTATAAATTGTCTTTTTTATTGAAGTGTAACATGCATGCAGAAGTATGTTCAAATTGTGTGTTCAACTGGATGAATTTCCAAAATAAGGAATAAGCATTTCCAGTATATACGCATAATGGTTGCAGAATTACTCGTATCCCTTTGAGTCAAAATCTCTACCAACTAGAGTGTCACTGAGGTCATTTTAATAAGGGAAAGAAGACAGAAATGTTTATCCTTTTCCAGATTGTGTTCAAGGGAAGCATGGTCCTGGGAATTAGCACAGATGCTCTGTGGAGAGGATACTGGGTCAAAGGAAGTGTGGGCAGCGCCTTACACCAAAGCTTTCTCTTGGGGGTACACAGTGCGTGGTGGTGTTCCTGTGCTCCGGGGTGTCCGTTAAGAGGTGCTGTCAAACTGTGCTCGGAGCCGGTGTCTCTGACACGTGCTTGAGCACATTTTTTGTAGTGTACATGTTAGCCGTCTTTGGAACAGCTACCGACCATCAGCTTGGAAACTGCTGCTCAGAAATTGTTTCATGGGAAGCAGGGTTAACCCGTTCTGTTCTGCTTCGCTAACTGTCCTCCTCTAACCACAATTTTAAGGGTGAACGTGCATGAACCTGCAGGCAAGTTAAAAACAAGAACAAAACAAACTCAGCAGCAGGACAGAAAAGCATTGGGAACGTTGAACGTCATGCACATAAAGATTTTTGTGATGATTTCAGAGAAGCTACTTTTTTTTTAACCATACTACTTTGGCCAGGTGGCACTCTCTTTTTATATGCGGGTCCGAGTATGAAGACTTTATTGTTTTCATATTACATGTACAGTGTCTTAGTCATTACGTATTTGATCCTCATAAGAATGACATCAGTAAATATTTAAAGCATTAGATTAAAATGTCTCTAATCGTGTTTTAAGTCAGTCTCTTACTTATTTTACGACCCAGAAATGGCAGTGGGGGAGTGGTTTTGCTCAGTGTCCCCATGGGTCAAGTACACAAATCAGAAGGGGTTCCACAGCACGGCTGTCCCTGTGCCCGTCTGGGCCAGCGGGAGGAGCTTCTTTTCTCGTAAGCCTCAGAAGTCTTTTGAGAGTTCCTGGGAGAGAGCAAACTCAGTCAACCATCAGCATCTCTGTTGCTGTTGTCTACTGTGACCCGTGACGGGAGCAATGGACGTTTGAACCACCAGGTGGTGTGATCCGCTCAGAAGCACTAGACTAGAAGAGAAGGAAAGAAAAAGAAAACTGGGGCCCATCCTGCTTTCCACCTGCCCTTTGGGGAGTAGAGCAGCGAGTGTTGGGAGATCTGGGAATCCTTTTGGGGGAAAGAACTTCCTAACTTTCAAGACTGGGCTCAGCACTGAGGAAAAGGAATATAGTCAATTTCCTTAAAACTGGTGAAAGGGAAACAAAAAATATATAGTTGAAAGGAAAAACCATCCGTGTTGGCATGTTCTGTAAATTCTTTTGGTTGGTTTTGTTCTTGTGAAAGTATATGTAACAAACACCTGTCATTTCAGCGTTTTTCACGTACAGTTCAGGTGACATTAATGACTTTCGTCATGTTATACAGCCATCACCAGTGTGTGTCGGCGGATTTCTCCATCCCCCTGTGGCTGTGCTAACACTGGTTGTGATTCTCGTCTCTTAGGAAGTCGGCTTGGCCCTGAGGACGTTACTGGCGACCGTGGATGAGACCATTCCTGTCCTGCCAGCCAGCACGCACCGCGAGGTAGGTTTCTTGGCCTTCCCGCCACTGGAGCCCCTGGAGAGTCCTGCTGGGAGGGCACCAAGGACACATGCAGGGATACTCTAAGTACAGCCAGCCGCACCGGCCATAGTGCCAGTGGCCGCCACTCAGCCCTCCACCGCAGAGGTCTGGCTTCCAGTGCTCAGCAGGTGATGGCCTTCCCCACAAAAGCCAACCCCACTGACTCCTGCTTGCCTGCTGGGACTCTGCCGTTAGTCCTAGCAGCAGTGGTACAGCCCTGACTCCAGTTCAGCCCCGGCTTCCCCACTGCTAGCAGGTCACCTCACACACTGCCAGGTCCTCTCCCGAAACGCGGGTGGTGAGGCAGTGCTCCGGGCCACAGAGGCGACCCTTCGGAGTCCCTTCTCTGACGTCTCACTGGAACAGAGAGGGAGAGTGCGAAACTGCGCAGAGAGAACATTCCTGAAGATGTTAGAGCATGCTCATGTTGCTGGGTTTCCGTTTGAAGTAGTGATATAAAAATTCCTTTAAAATCTATGAATGTGTTAGATATTTGAAAAGGAAGGAAAGTTCACCCAGAACACAGCAGCCCTGCGTGACTTGGGCCTGTGTGGCCGTTTCACTTCATTTTTGTGACTTGACAATTGAAGGAAGCCCTGTCCCCACAGCAGCTCAGGCGGCCGCCCCCTGGGTGGACACAGCCCGAGAACGAGTGCAGGGTCCAGGCCTCTGCCGCGAGCTCACGGCTTCTTGCTTTCCTCCCTCCAGCACCGACTTCCCACTTTTTGCCTCCTCTCTGAAGAGCGTGCAGGCTCTCCTCAGCTTCTCTCAGCTTCTCGCAGAATCCTTTGTCTCCCCACTGCTGTAGATCCAAACCCTGGATGGACCCCCCCTGCGTCTGTGTTGTGGGAGGAGCTGGCCTGGCTAGCGGAGACCTGCCCACGGCAGGAGTGTGCGGCGTGTCCCTGTGGCTTCCGCAATCAGTGGCCCTGCGTGTACTCACCACCCCTGGCCCCTGTCTGCCCCCCAACACACGTTGACGCACCTGTCACCCGCCGAGTCTCAGACCTGTCCTCGCCTCTCTGTCCTCGCTACCACCGACGCCTCATCCTCAATTACCACGACAGCTTAGCACTCAGTGTCTCTGCCTCTCCCCCTCCTCCTTCAACTTCCACACCGCTGCCAGAGCCAGCTTTCTAGGACAGTCTGGTGTATTGTGTCATTCCTCTCCCAAAATTCTCTGATGCCTTCCTGTTGCCGGGCAGGATAAAAGTTACTTCAACATGGTACATGACGCCCTTCACACTTGGAGCCAACCTACTTTTCGGTCTTGTTTCCATAACTGCCACCTTTACTTGTGTTGAATTATCTGCCTGAGATGCCCACCTACTCTGTCTGGTAAATTCCTGTCACCCTTTTAGGGTGCATTCTCCTCTGCGAAGTCCTTCTGGCCCTCTCTTCTCTCTGTGCGTGTCTCCTGGACGGTGGTCACAATGTAGTATAGATGGTCCTGTCCATGGTTCTCCGCTAGACTCACAGATATGCCCAGTCCATTCTTGTGTCCGGAACACCGAATGCCTCGTTCATAGTTAGTGCTCAGTAATTGTTAAGAGAGCAAATGGATGAGTCGTCAATGGTTGAATAAACAGAGAAGAGGGGTCACGAGGTCCCCACAGGCAAAGCAGTTCTAATCCAGAGGGCAGTGTCTTCCAGAGCTGCTTCCAGCTGCGGATCAGTGTGGGGGAGTCCGAGGTTTACATCAGGAGGGCAAGGGTGTCTCCTGACACCTGTAACCCGTCTCCTGGATCAGCAGGGAAGGCCTTGGGATATAGCTGAGAGAGTAGGAAGAGCCCATGACTAGAAGTCCTGACCCAGGTCTTGCCCTGTGTTGGTGACTGACCACCTGTGAACCCTCAGCAGACCACTCCGTGTCTCTGTTGTCTACTCTGTCACAGGAGTGGACTTAGGTAGTTGCCCCCCAAGGTCTGTGAAACTCTGTGATTCTGTTAAGAGATGGAAAAGAACCCTCCCAGTTGCTGAGGTAAGTGAAGTCTACGCAGTGACAATAAATCGGAGAACAGTAAATAAGCTGTGGTGGCGGGGCCGTTAGGGGCTGGACCAGGAGGCCGCCAGGTGTGTGTGCACATGCGTGCATATGTTAGAGCGTGCACCACGTACTATACTGGCTAAGTGCCTAGAGGGAAGGTTGATTTTATATCTTACTGCTTCTAAGGAAGATCTGTTTAAGGGGAAGAAAGACATTTCTTTTCCTGGTGGCACCTCAGAAAGGTGCGTGGAAGTCCCCTGACACTGGCAGCGCCTCTCCTGACCTGTGTCTGTCCTTGCAGATTGAGATGGCCCAGAAGCTGCTGAACTCCGACCTGGGGGGGCTCATCAACAAGATGAAGCTGGCCCAGCAGTACGTCATGACCAGCCTCCAGCAGGAGTACAAGAAGCAAATGCTGACCGCCGCGCATGCCCTGGCCGTGGATGCCAAAAACCTGCTCGATGTCATTGACCAAGCGAGACTGAAAATGCTGGCGCAGACGAGACCGCACTGAGGCCGCCGAGGGGCAGGCCTTCCGCCCGCGCCTGACCGGAGTGCCCCGCAGATGTTCTCGCCTTCCACCAGCAGTGAGGAGCTAGCCCCGGGTCCTCTGCGCCAGTGCTTACGGCTCCCACTCCCCTGACTGACGGATGGTTGAAATCTCTCTCACGTCAGTTCGGCCACGTTTTGGTTTGAGTTGGTTTTTTGTTTTGTTTTCCTTTAATCGTGATGTTCAGAAAAGTCGGGGATCCAAAATGTGGCAGTTTTCTGAGGATGAAAACCGTATCTGAGAAGCTTTTGAGGAGCGTGAGGAACGGTTTGTGTTCACACTAAGATGTGTATTTAAGGAAACGGCCAAGGGCTGGCACGTTAATTCCTGAATTGCCGAAGCTGCGTATCGGAAGAAAAGAGAATGACGTGAAGAATTCCGGGAAACCCACGGGGCTGAGAATTCTTTTGCCTACCGTAGAATTATTATCCAGACTGGAATCCTTTTTTGTTAGAGCACCTTCAGTTGCAGTATGCTAATACCACTTTACAAAGAAAGAATATAAAAGCTATATTTTGAAGACTTGAGACATTTCAGAAAAAAAAAAAAGACTACGACCTTTCCATCTCTGCTGCCTTTTACTTTGATGTGGATACGTGAGGCGTTCGGTTGAGAACTAGCTGTTAGAACATTACTAAGAACTCCGGTCTTTCTCACCAGAATAACGTGCCAGTTTGGTAGCTGTGCTCTTTCTTTCGGGAGCAGCAGTGCTTTGTCCCCGAGCACCTGCAGACTGCGTTGAGAAGCCCCGTAACTGGCCCTGGTGTCCATTTTTATATAATTTATAAAGAAAGACTATTTTGCAGCCACTGGAGCTAACGACCCCTTCATTGTGTCTGTCTTCCCGGAAGAGAATCCAGCAGAACAGAGGGATTTGGTTTTCTCTTGATGTCCGGTTATACCATCCATTCTGTTAAATAATAATTTTGAAAATGTGCCCTCCCTTTAGTTTGTCGGGGGATATAAATTATTCTCAGGAAGAATATAATGAACTGTACAGTTACTCTGACCTATTAAAAAGGTGTTACCAGAGAAGTCCTTGCGTAATAGCCTTCCTTTTCATTCTACTTCACACCATTTACAGATTTGCAGGTGACTTGTCAGATAAAATCCCATACAGGAAAATGCTCGGTACCTATGAGTTTCTTTTCCTGCTTCATCTTCTAGGCAAGGTCAGGACTTCACCACAGAAAGATGGCCCAACATGAGTTCACCTTTGTATTCAGTCTTATTACGCGTAGAACTCCACGCAATAAGGGATTGTAACAACCATTCCAGCCACAAGGGGGCTGTTCCCACAGATCCCGATGTGAAGGGAAGTGCTGGCATGGACTCTCGGATCTGCCGGAATCTGCTAGAATCTCGGTGAGCTGCGGTGCAGAGCAGGAGGGTGGAAATGGGTGTCTGGAGCCCTGGGGCCTCAGACATAGGAGGCCCAGGGAGCAGGGGTCCCAAGTGGAAGGGTTTGAGGGAATGTTCTTCAGATAGTCTCTCAGGTGTGAAACAATTCTTCTTTGGACATACAACATTTCTGTATTTTGGAAAAAAACTCAAGGAAATGCTATTTTCTCTTATTCTCTGGTGTTCTTCAATCCCTTGCACTCGGTTTCCTCATCTTTAAAATGATTGTGAGGATTACATAAGCTCAGTGTAAACGGCCGTGTTCTGCATCTGTTGTAAGGTGCTGTGTTGTGGGGGCCTTCTGTGCACTGTAGGATGGTAGCAGCACCCCTGGCCTCTACCCACCAGATGCCAGTAGCAACCCCCCGTTTTGACAGCCAAACTCGCCACACCTCACGCAGTGTCCCTGGGTGGCACAGTCCCCCCTCCCCAGTTAAGACTCCCGCCTCAGTGAGTTTACCTGGAACTAATACCTGTTGTGACATGATCGGACTTCAGGGACAACGCCTTTTCCTCCAGTAGGAATCACAGGTAAGTCTCACACCTTCCTTCCCGTCAGTCAAAGAGGGAGAAGAAGCACATTTCCCTTATGAGAGTGGGCGGAGAGGCAGAGGCTGAGTGGTGTTGCAACAGCATGTGAGCTGGTAGGCCAGAGGTGGGGTCCCAGCCAGCGACACAGACCAGTGGTGGACAGGGCCATAGACCCAGACTATCAGAAGGACCCTTGGGTAATTGTAGTTGTAAAGCAGAACTGAGAGATTTGAGTCCAAACACCCAGCAAAACATAGATTTAGAACTAAAAGGTTTCCAATTTCTCAGTATACTGTCGTAGCGTTGCTATAATAACAAATACCACAGGTAGGTGGCTTTAACAAACAAATTTATTTTCTCACAGTTTAGGAAGCTAGAAGTCCAAACTCAGGGCACTGGCTCTAAGGAAAGGCTTTCTCTGTCCGCTCTGGGGGAAGGTCCTTGTCTCTTTTCAGCTTCTGTTCCTTAGTTCTGTGATGATCTTCCTGTGGCATGGCCTCTGTCTTCCCCCAGCTCTGCTTGTTTGCTTCTGTGGCTCATCTGCTCTTTCATATCTCAGAAGGGACTGGCTTCAAACACACCTGACACGGATGTGGCCCCACTGACGTAACAAAGAAATCCCTATTCCCGAATGGGTTCGCATCCGCCGTCACAAGGGTGAGGACGTAGACACAGGAGTTCAATCCATAACATATGCTGAGGGTAACAATTACCTAACCAGGCAACCCACATGTGAAGTATGTCCGCGTTAGGTGAGCAAAGAAAATGAAGGTAAGCCAGTTTACAGTCTCACACCTTTTCTCTTTCTGCTGGATATTTTCCTGTTTACTTAACATGAGTTTAAAGAGTAAATAGAGGAAAGGGCGGCAGAATGTAGAGCTCACTGGACTTTTCACAAAGTGTAAAATTGTAACTGGGACCCAGATTGAGAAACAGGATAACACCAGCACCCAAAGATCCCAGGGCTTCTTACCACTCCCCAGGAGGGTAACCGCCACCTTGATTTTCTTACATCAACTTTTTAGAGATACGACTTACATGACAATGAAATGAACTGACTGAACAGTGCAGTGATTTTTGTTTTCCCATCGGTACACATCTGGTCAACCATCAGTGCAATCAAGATGAGAGAGAGCATTTCCTCACCTCAGAAAGCAACCTAACGCCCTTCCCATGAGGAAGCAACCCTATCCACCACTGATAGGATTTGAGTCATTGTAGATTGGTTCTAGAACTTCAAATTAATGAAGCCATTCTGTGTGTACTCTTTTGATTTAACTTCTTTCACTTCTGCACATCCATGTTGTTGCATGTATCAGAAGTTTGTTCTTTTTTATTTCTGATTATATTCCACGGTATGATTATAGTATGGCCTGTTTACCTATTCACTTGCCCAGTGAGACAGTTGGGTTGTTTTCAGTTTTTAACTATTACGAATAAAGCTACTGTGGACATTTATGTATAAATTTACATGTGTCCATTTCTCTTGGGCAAATAATTAGGAATGAAATTTCTGGAATATATGGTTAATGTATTAAAAACTACCAAAGTGTTTTCCAGCATGGTGGTGCCTTTTACACTTCCACCAGCAGTGTGTGAGCTCCAGTTGCTCACCAACACTTGGTATCCTTGGTATCCTCAGTCTGTTTAATTTTAGACATTCTGGTTGGTAGGATGTGCTGTCTCGTTTTAACATGTACATCCCCAGTGACAGTGATAAAGTCTCTTCCTGTACTTGTTGCCATTTATATATATTTTTTTTCCTGTGTGTGTGTCTGCACAGATATTTTGCGGCTTTTGTAACTGGCTGTTGATATTTTTGTCACTGAGTGGTAGGAGTTCCTTCCATATCCTAGATACTAGTTGTCTTAGTTACCTAGTGCTGCTGTAACATAAGTACCACAAGCAGATGACTTTAACAAACAGGAGTTCATTCTCTCCCAGTTTAGGAGGCCAGAAGTCCGAATTCAGGGCACTAGCTCCAGGGGAGGGCTTTATCTCTTTGTTGGCTCTGGGGGAAGGTCCTTGTCATATTCTTCCCCTAGCCTAGGAGCTTCTCAGCGCAGGGACCCCTGGTCCAAAGGATGTACTCCACTCCTGGTTCCCCTTTCTTGGTGGTAATGAGGTCCTTGTCTATGCTCGATTCTCCCTTTTATATCTCAAAAGAGATTGATTCAAGATACAGCCTAATCTTGTACATTGAGTCCTGCCTCATTAACATAACTGCCTCTAATCCTGCCTTATTAACATCATAGAGGTTAGGATTTACAACATACAGGATAATTACATCAGATCACAAAATGGAGGACAACCACACAGTACTGGGCATCACAGCCTAGCCAAGTTAATACATTTTTGGGGGACACAATTCAATCCATAACACTAGTCCTTTGTTGGATATGTGTTTTCCATATATCTTCTCCCAGTCTGTTGTTGTTAGTTGCTGCTAAGTCAGTTCCCACTCGTGGTGCCCTTGTGTCAGTCCAGAACTGTGCTCCATATAGTCTTCAAGGCTGCGACCTTTGGAAGGAGACCGCCATGCCTGTCTTGTGAGGTGTAGCTAGGTGAGTCTGAACCTTCAGCTTTTTGGCTGGTAGTCAAACGCTTAACTGTTTGTATCACCCAGGACTCTTCCTATCTCTGTATCTTCTCTAATGAAACACCTCTTCTTGGCCTTAACCTGTGTTCTAGTTGTAATCCCTGGTACATAGTAAACTGTAGTATTGAATCCCTGAGTATATAATAAACCGTAGTAGTATAATAAACTGTAGTAGTATAATAAACTGTAGTAGTATATGTAATAAACTGTAGTTGTATAGTAAACTGTAGTGCTGGTGTATAATCCCTGGTATATATTTGCTATGGCATATAATCCCTTGTGTATATCAATGTAGCAACCCTATAGGACACAGTAGAATTGCCCCATAGGGTTTTCAAGGTAGTAATCTTTATGGAAGCTGACTGCCACATCTTTGTTGCATGGGTCGGCTGGTGGATTCAAACTGCCGACTTTTTGATTAGCACTGCATGTTGGTATATATAGACAATAGTGTTTAATCTCTGGTATGTAATTATGAATCCCTGAATATAAAAAAGAAGTATATAATCCCTCACACATAATTAGCTCTAGTACTTAATCTCAGGTGTGTAATGAAATGTTACTTTATAATCCCTGATATATAATAGAATGTAGTGTATAACCCCTGTATATAATAAACTGTAGTATTAAATCTCTGATATACTCATGTAGTTAGCTGTAGTATCTAATCCATGGTATATAATTAGCTGTAGTGTATAATCCCCGGTATATAATTAGATGTAATATATAATCCCCTGTATATAATAAACTGTAGTATTGAATCCCTGATATACAGTTAGCTGTAGTGTATAATCCCTGGTGTATAATTAGCTGTAGTGTATAATCCCCGGTATATAATTAGTTCTAGTGTGTAATCCCTGGTATATAATTAGCTCTAGTGTGTAATCCCTGGTATATAATTAGCTCTAGTGTGTAATCCCTGGTATATAATGAACTGTAGTATTGAATGCCTGATATATAATTAGCTGTAGTGTATAATCCCCAGTATGTAATTAGCTCTAGTGTGTAATCCCTGGTATATAATAAACTGCAGTATTGGATCCCTGGTACATAATCAGTGTAGTGGATAACCCCTGGCCACACACGGGCGTGAAAGCTGCTGTTGCAGTCGTCCCTAGTCCGATGAAGAGCCCTTGTTAGGACGGAGCACCTGACCCCCAGCCAGTGGGTCTAAACCATCCTGCTGTTGCAGTCGTCCCTAGTCCGATGAAGAGCCCTGGTTAGGACGGAACACCTGACCCCCAGCCAGTGGGTCTAAACCATCCTGCTGTTGCAGTCGTCCCTAGTCCGATGAAGAGCCCTGGTTAGGACGGAACACCTGACCCCCAGCCAGTGGGTCTAAACCATCCTGCTGTTGCAGTCGTCCCTAGTCCGATGAAGAGCCCTGGTTAGGACGGAGCACCTGACCCCAGCCAGTGGGTCTAAACCATCCTGCACGCTGATTGTGTTTCCACAGGCTCAGCAGTGTTGTCGCGGAAAGACACCGACCTCCAGAGGAAA